GCACAATCATTTATTTTTACCTGAGCCGTAGTGGCTCAGGGGATAGTGCACTTGCCTCCAAATTACGAAAACGAGGTCTGTAATTCATGACTGGTCTATAGGAATCTGCATCCCACTAGCACCGGGTCACAGTGCTAGTGGGATGTCCTCAGTGGTAGGACATGGGACGGATCATGGGTTTGAGTCCCCTTGGCATCAGGCTGAACGTGGAATATTTTTGAGCTTTTCCTTACCTTGTATCGCAAATACGAGCTAATTCCATCAAATAGTCTTCCATGAAGTCCTCTTCTATGTCATGATCGAAAGTGTTATGATAAAACTAGCAAATTTCTGCACATTTACCAAATTTCATCACATATTATTGAACTATATTTTGTCGTTAATGTTACCAAAATCAATACCAACGATCTTCGGTAAGAAATTTTGGTGATCCCATAGTGCCAGCATCTAAGTTTTACCATATTCTGGTAGTTTTGACCATAGTATACCGGATGTTAATAAAGTCCCGGACTAATTTTGATGTTTAATAACTCATAAGATAATAAAGGTAGCTTAAAATTAATAACATAAATGGTAAGATAGATTCAAAAAGTTTCATGATCCTTATCAATGAGCTTCCACGTGTGTCCCCTTCGTCGCACGGAGAATATCAAGTCGATAGTCAATTTCACGCCAGGTAGAGGCAAGCATGTCGGCATCCGCAGAGGCCATTGCGGTTGTAATTCTGGCTTTTAGGTCATCAATGTTCGACCCGATCCTCCTGTAAACATCGTCCGTTATAAATCCTCAAAGAAAAAAGTACAGCGGCGTTATATCAGGTGATCTGGGTGGCCAAGGAATTGGATCTCCACACCCAATCCATCTTCCTGGAAAATGGTCTTGTCAAAGAACTACAAACGATATCCCAATAAGGTGGTGCACCATCTTGTTTCAAAAAGACATGTGGCTGAAGCTCTTCTAGTTGTGGAAATACGAAGTTTTCCAACATGTCTAAGTATACGACTGATGAGACCGTATTTTCTGTATAAAGGAAAGGCCCAATGACTCGGTCGTGCATTAGTCCACACCACACATTAACTTTTGGGGAATCCCTTTGTGTCTCACGGTATTCGTGGGGATTTTCAGATCCCCATATGCGCTCATTATGGCGATTAACAATGCAAGAAACATGAAAGGATGCTTCGTCGGAGAATATTATGCTCTGCAGAAAACCGCAATAGCCTCTGTGGATGCCGACAGGCTTGCCGCTACTTGGCGTGAAATTGACTATCGACTTGATATTCTCCGTTCGACGAAGGGGACACGCGTGGAAGTTCATTGACGAGTGTCATGAAAGTTTTTGAGACTATCTAACCATTTATGTTATTAATTTTAATCTATCTTTATTATTTTATGAGTTATTAAACATCAAAATGGGTCCGGGACTTTATAAACACACTGTATTTCTCAGTGCCTTATACGTCAACGGAATTAGCTGCGCGTGTGAGTTAAAGTGATAAACTATCTTTTTTTTTTGACATTCCGACTGAGAATCTAATATTTTTATATTTGTCAAGCATTTTAGAAAATTCCTACGAAGTGTTAGAAAAATTTTAGTTATTAAACGCAATGTTTAAATTTAGACTACAAAGATTTTTCAACTAACAATCATTTTGTCTTAATCTTTCGAAAAGTTCTTGAGACAATATTTTAAGTATCATAAAAGTTTCAAATCTCTTGAATTAATTATTTCGTGTTATCTCTACAACTTTGCATTAGTTGTAAGTAAGGGTCGATATCGTTTGTTTACTTTTATAACTTTTATCGGTTCTTGAAAATTATTAGAAATACCATGTCTCACATTGGAAACCAACAAGTGGCGTCATAGTAGGTAAATCGTGGCAGTTTTCGATTCAAGTGTCGTCACTTACAGGTATCCAATTAAATCTGATTTATATCACATAGTTAGGCAAAATTACTTCGCTTCTTCTACCCAATTAAACACTGCTCCGGGTTCTAAAATATTTTCTTTAAAAAAAAAAAGATCAATTTAAATAAATCAAGCAAAGAACGAGGGAACTTCCTAAAGGGTAGGAATTTTTAAAAAAAAACAAAGCATTTGATTTGCCAAAATTATTTTAGTTTAATTCTATTAGAACATTTTAATTAAATGAATTTGTACATTTATTTTGCTTACCTTGTTGTAAGCCTTGAAAACCACAGCCCTTCAAAGAGTTAATGTAATTATTTTAATTTTCATTTAGGAGTGTACGTCTTAGAAAGTAGTTTGTCTGAAACACAATCAGCATAAATGTACAATCTTTATAAAAACTAAAAATAAAGACGCGAGTACCAAATATTCACTTTACGTGTATAAACTCAATAGCAGCTTTAATTTGTAGTTTCAAATTTGAACATTTTTCATAAATGAAAGACAAATCCAAACGTGATGGAAATCTTGCCATGTGCGCTTTATTGTAATAAATGTCACACATAAACATTTATAAATATATACACAGATACGGTCATAAATATTTATATACAAGATTATACAAATGGCGAGTCAATATCAATATATTACAGGTACAGACAATAAAGTGCAAATTATCATAATCAAAATGACATTGGGAGTTCCAGAGAGAATATTTTATGTGATTTCTGATTCAGATTTCTGTCATAGTGGCACCTTCATGATGTACACATTAACCCATACACTCTAATATCTATAGAATATCAGTGAAAACTGTGGAAACTGTTTCACAACCACTGGGAAATACCGTCCCCAAAAAGCGTACAAGTTTAGAAATATTAATCACGAAGTGGATGTTTTAACTGACTAGCACTTTGACGCAGAATTTTTAGTGAACATATTTTTCATACTTTCTTTTCACTATTTTGCATTAATTTTGGTCAAAATAAATGTAAAATGTTTTATTAAGTATTTTAATAGTTTGTGGTTATGAAATACAGCGTGAAACACGTGTCTTTTTCTGCATCAAATGTAAAATCTTCCTAACACGGTTCTCTTCCAAAAAATAATTTTTCACATTTGCTGTTATTTATATCTAATAGAGACAGCTATTCATCATTGAAATATATTTAATTTGTAAAATCAATTATTTATAAATTTTCGATTATGAATGAAAAAAAAATTCGAATTCTTATTTTTGAATTTTAGATAAACAGATTTGAATTTTAGATGAACAGAGATTAACTGATATAATTCCGATAATCTAACTTATTTTTAGTAACTATTAAACTGTTGTTTTTTTTTCTAAATTTAAAAATACCAAATAACATTTTTACTTGTCTTTAGAGAGTCAGAAAAATTAAATATAAAAGGAACACTGGTGTCCCATCTGCTAGGCGATAGCAACTTTTCAAGACTTCATTCTTTATCTTTTGCTTCTCCTATCATGAAATCCTGCCATTTTCTTGATCTTATTGAATGAAAAATTTGTGCACCGAGGAGAGATTTATTCATAATGTTCTCTAAATACAAAACACTAGGTCAGTTGTAAGGAGGCAGTTTTTGGGGAGACAATCTATGGCTGGAAATGTGGAACAAACATCAATCTATTAACATTGGTTAAAGGAATAAGCTCACAATAAAGGACATTTTAATATCAAGCTATCTTAACATTATCACTACGAATACATTAAAAAAAATTCAAAATGATTCTAACAGTACACTTAATTAGCTGACTCAATTTTAAATATAATATTAAGTAACAAAAATCTTTTTTATTATTACCACTCATGATCTAGACCGATTTGGGATCTTTATTGTGGAGTGGATTAAATTTGATCCCAAATTAAAACAAAACAAATTTAAACTATAGTACAAAGGTATAAAATACTAAACATATTACATAAGACAAGCTTTAATTAAAATTGTATACTTTTAAAAAATAAAAAAAATCACTAAAATAAAAAGAAAATGACGTGGCAAGATTGTCAATGGGTTAGGTCAGTTTTCTAGAGTTGTTCTTGAAATTACTTATTTAAAAACCAAATTAAGTTCCAAATTATATTTTGATCTGATAACTTTAGCTTAAAGCGTTGCTTCAACTACTTGCGCTACGTAATATTTGCTGTTTAAATTCAATATTCACAAAAAAGAGTTTTAATACTATAAGATTGCCATGATATTAGGAAATTAATTCACAATATTTAAAAATACAAGTATTAAGTTTTAAACATTGCGTTAACAAAAATACTGTGCTGAAGTTTTTACATAAATATTCTGTTTCAGGAATAGTAACAAGAAATAAATAACGAGAATTAAAATGATTGATTAATGAAAATAAAAACTAAATGTGTGACATTGATTGAAAAGTTCGTAAATTAAACAATCGTTGCAAAATATAGTAGAAAATAAAAAGTTCAACAATAAAATGTAAAAAAGTATGTTTTACGATCATTTTTCAATATTGCTTGAATCTCAAAATTTTTAAATATTTTTTGACTCCCAATAATTATTTATGAGCTAAAAATAACTTTTTATTTGAAAAAAAATTAAAACAATGACTAAAAATGAATTATTAAAATTTGACAAAATAAATATTATCATTGTCCGAATAATTCATATTATTTAAGTTAATAACAAAGACAGAATTGACTAGAACTGCTTCTTATAAAAAACAGCAGTAAAAACTAAATCAGTACATTCATATCAAATGAAAAATGCCATTTTAATTACAAATGAAGTCGTATTTGCATTAGATAATTTGTTTTAGAAAATTATTGAGACTAGATATATATATTTGGAAAACATGTTATCAACTTCTACAATAAGAATCATCACATTGTTACATCATTTTTTGTTCCGAAACTACTTTTATTCTTATTTAACCTGTTCCGATACATTTTCACATGCACTAGGCTAAAAAATGGCACAGAATATTTAATATCAAAAGATAATGTTTTCATTCATTGAATAGAGATTATGCATTTGTGGCTTAATGCAAGAACAACATGCGTCAAAATTTCTGAAGTTAAGCAATTTCAGTTTTGTAAACTTTTTCAACTTTCTTGCGTATGACACGCTAGTAGTTCGCATGTGCTAGCTTCTTTGTCAGTGCGATAATAACATGGAAATGTTAATTATCCTAATGTTTCTCAGATCAAAGTCAGAGAAAACTTGGATCAACGCTTAATATCGCTAACATGTTTGCGTTGAGTTTGAACCATAGGATCACGTAATCAACTTTAAATGGTTTAGTTTGTAACTATTATAGTTCAATTTATAACTGATTCAATTGAATTACAGCTGACTTGCATAATTAAGTGGTATAACGTGCTCCACAATTTTTAAGACCATGGAACATGAAAAATTTTGCTTCAAAATGATTAAAAAGTATTGTAAATCAAGAGCAAATAGTACGCAAATAGTAATTACAACTATTCCGTAAAAGCATTTTTAATCCGCTACGCAGAGAAGTAAAAGAGAAATAATCATTTTTAATGCCACGGACTAAAATTCAACAATTTATTACGAAATAGTGATAAACAACAGTTTCATTAATTTCTTAGTACAATAAAGCTGTAAAGAACTCTGACCAAATATCCATTTTCACAATCAGTTTTTGTTGAAATAAGAGTGCAAAATATTTCTTGTAAATAACTAGCTAATTTACATTAGATATATTTCTTGTTTTAGTTTGTAAAATTGAAATTAAGTAAATTGAAATTAAAATGAGAATCTTACATTTAATGCCACATTTTATTTCTTAATTTCCATTTGCCTTTGCACTATCTTAGTTTATTTATTTTTCAATTGAATAACATTCGGTAGCATGTTCTGAGTGGTAAAATGTTTTAAATCATATTTATTTTACAGCCATTTTACTTTGTCTGCCACTTGTTAAAAACATTTTTTTAATTTTCGTACGTTTTAAATTAGATTTTTTCAGACCAATTGAATCAAAGTAATCCTTTTGGTTTAGCATATCAACACATTGAATGAGTTAACCTATCATAACTATTAAACAAATTTTCATATTTTGATTTCGCTGATACAATTTTAGACTTTTTCTTAAACCTAATCACTGGCATTAGTTATTCTCACATTTAGCCGCATAATTTTTTGTAGAAATATCGTAGCCAATATTACGGAACCTTAAACTATTTTTTAAATTATTAAACTGTCACAAAATTATGCGTAATTGCTTGGAAATCACATAGCTCACAACAAATTTGAATCAACATGAAACATACATCGTTAATTATAAATTATTCAAATCAAACATTGGAATTTCGTGAGGAATTTGTCACCACAAGATCATTGAAAGCAACCTCCTTACGAGAATCATCTTTGGATGAACCTTGTTTCAGAAAAGGTTGTCTTACTCCTTTGGTAGTCATGTTGGTCATGGGATGGAAAGTGGAATTTCTATGAGTGGTTGAGAGGGTTTCAGTCATGGTGGTGTACTCTGAAGCTCTGGAATGACCATTAGTGAAAGGACGTTGCATAGAGGGGAAGCAGATACACAACTTTTCTGCAATCCAGTTACAGAAAGGCAGCCTTCTGGGAAGAAAGATAAAAAACTTTCAGTGAGAAGTTTACAACTCGTGAATGCTGAAAAACTAAAACGGTTTTTACAGGGTGAATAATATGTAACAAATTTTTAAGTTATACAATAGTATTTAAAGTGTAACACTTGGTAGGTATAAATTATGGCAAACGGAATGCACAAAAGATTTCTGATTAACAGATTAGTATTAAAGCAGTTAACACCTTCCTTCTCGCTCCCGTGAAAATGACGGGGTAAGGTTTCGTCCTCTATTTCTCGCTCCCGTGATATTGACGGGTTGAAGTGCTCAGTAGTAACGCGCCAATAACAATAAAGCAAATTCATTTCTTTTGCTTGGAAAACATTTTATTTCTCATTTTACACACCAAATGGTGGTACCAAGATATTTTTAAGGTACTTGTAGATAGCTAGGTTATTTTAAACTAGTTACTGCAGTAATCAAATACGTAATACAAATACAAAAGCCAAAAAAATAGTAACTTTTATGACCATTTTCTTGAAAATTAACCGATTGTTAAGGGGTTAAAAAGAACGTGAACTCATAGTATGATCAAAACAAGGTACATTATCGTAGCAAAGAGTGAGTATAATACGGATACTTTTCATCAAATATTTGTTGATTATGGTAAACACATTCTAGGTAAAACTATATAAATGGTTTAAAACTTTTAGTGGAGGGTGTACTTCAGTATCAGATGTGCAGGAGTAGTATGAAATGGGAAATCCTGATATCTTCTATTAATTCATTACTAATTTTGATAAAATGTTTAGTAATTAAAAAGTTTACAACTGGTGATATATGTAGTCTGACTAACTGAAGCAACTGTTATATCCAAATCATGCAACTACCTTTTAAATTTTCTCTACTTGCTTCGTTCCAGATGCATCTTTTTCAACTCACTTTTGCATTCACTTGAAATGCTTTCATGTGTATCTGTTAATCAGTTATTCATTCAGATATATACCTCTTCTCTTTGCAAAGCAAAATAGTGACGATGTTATAATTCCTGAAAATTGTCCACTTTTTATCTACAACACCCTTATAGAATTGATAGAAATTACGTAGCATAAATAAACCCCACCAATGAATTTTTAAAAATTTAACACATTTAACTCATAGGACTATTTAATTTTTTTTGTATTTTATTATATAAACTAAGTTTTATATATAATTCCCTCACTGATTTCAAAGGCTATAATAATAGTAAACGAATTTCGTCAGATAACAGAAATGAACATTATCCTAAATATAAAAGCTGTTCATCCAAAGCATATATTTCATAAAACGTTTTTTGAAACATAAATTCTTTGACATAACTCCATTAAAATTTGCTCATTGTATAGGCTGATGAGTGTGTGGCCTGATGTGGAAGAAAACTGCCAAGCACAATGCAACGATCAGGCATACACAACGCCATTTTATTTTACTAATTTCTTCCAGTCGATTTGGTGCGCTACCGTTTACCAACACTGTTGAAAAAAATTTATCTTCAATTAATTTCTGTCATGAACGAAAGTTTCTGTAAAAATACTGTTCGCTTATTTTTATTAATTTTTGTGTGTTTTTTTTATATAAATACGTCATATTTTATTTTGATTTTATATTTAATAATACCTTCTAAAATTGAAGTGATTATTTATCACATTTTTTTTTACTAGTACGTGCAGTTAATTTCAAAAATTATCGATCTGTGAAAAAACGTGTATCGTAAATAATGCATTGTTGCACTATATTTTTGTTTGATTCGTTTTGATACTTAGTAAAACACAAGTATACAAAATGGAAGTTAAAACTGTAGTCCAAGAATGTTATAGTATAGAGTAAATACAGCACTCATCTCATATTTAAAAAAATATATTATAAAATTATTGTTTGAAGCTTTACAATCACAATTGTCTGTATAGTTTTTATTTCGCACTAAAATAAGTGCTTAAAACTGGAAACAGGAAAACTATTCTATGCATGAACATTTTCAAAAATCTTTTGTAAATAAATAAATGAAAACTAAAGAAATAAAAATGGTAAAAACTGTGAAATAATAGAAACTTAATTTAACATACATCTCATTCAAAATACTATTTTAATTTGCTTTCCTACATTGCTTTATTATAATATTTATTATAATATTTATTATTATACTTATTAATTAGATGACGATTTTAGTAAGAGTGTAATAAATTTTTCTAAAAAAAATTCTTAAATTAGCTTTAAAGAAAAGGAGAAATTTTAACTTATAATTTGACAGACTTAATATTATAAAACGTATTATAAATTCAAAATTGGTATGAATTACTTCAAAACATAGTCGAAAACCATTGTGAATTCTGGGTATCGAATATTAATTCAAATATACTCATTTCAACTTTCTAAATGTAGCAACTTCGATTTAGTACGTTTAGTTATTTAAATAAAAATATGCTATTAGATTTATTTGATAAATAATAATTTTATGAAAAATAAGTTCCGTAATCTCACAATGGAAAAAATGCAGTTTAATTTAGAACGAGGCAAGAGTCTGAACCTAATGATTGTTATTAAACAGAGTAAGGCTCCATCACAGATTTATGTAGATATTTCTACACACAAATTGCGATAAAAATTACCTCTTATCTCTGAAAAAGTGGAATAATTAACTTTTCTGTGTTCTAAACAATTAACGCAGTTAAATAAGAAACCATTGTATACAAAAGCATTTTCAGAAATTCCTAATATTTATACTTGCCTGAAGTTTCTACAGATATGAGTTGAGAAAAGACAATATATCAAGGGGTTAGCAGCACTGTTTAAAGGAGCCAAGCTTTGAATGAATGTTGAAACAGCTATAGACGTTTGACTATCCGGGATTTTTCCATAAACTTGAAGGAGATCATACACAAAATATGGACTCCAACAAAGAATAAATACTAAAAAATTATAACAAATTTATATTTTAAGTTAAACAAGGAAAAACAAAAATTTTTTTAACAACAATGAAAATTGTGTTCAAGGTGAGCATTTTCTTCTACTAATTTCCCACATAGGTTGACATAGGTTAAAATTCTATCAACTTTAAGTTGCCAAAGCTAAACTAAAATAGAGAAGCATAAAATGCTCTTAAATATTTCATATTAAAAAAAACTGTCCTGTCTAATTCTTTATAAGCTATGTTATAATAATATAAGTTATTTATAATTTTGTATGTAACTATGAATTAAATTATAGAAGCTATTATTTTATTATATAAGTGATTCATAATTATGTTGACAAATTTGAAGCATAGCACATAAGATATATAAAATGCCTAATGCTCTAAACCCCTTCATCATTGACCTATAAATGCACTATTTTTGTGTGAAACTCTTTGATTTATTACATATTCCTTTTTAAGGACGATTTGTTAAAGATTGTAGTTCATTTCAATGAACAACGCTGACACTGATTATGTTCCTAATTTTAGAAATTCATTTCATACTTGCTTTTAAATTTCCTTTAGAACAAAAAATAAAAATTGCTTAACTTTCTTAGACGTTTTAATTAATCGCAGTTATGAGATATTTCTCACTTCTGTCCCTTTTATTCCATGATAACCTTTCACTTCGTCCCCAAATTAAAAATCAGCTGCATCATCATGCCTCTAAAATTTGTTCCAATAGTAATCTCCTCTAAAAAACTTCTTTATCTTCAAGTTATATCTGTAGACTATAAGTTTCTTTTTAATTCTTCTATCCATAGAAAATTACTCTAGCAGCCCAGTGCTCTCACCAATTAATCTCGAACTTATAATCTGATTGATCAACCGAATTATTCTTAACTCAGACCCCAAATTGCTTAAATTTTTAATAAATTTGAGTTTAAAGTAATTTTTTCACATTCCATTTCAGTACATTCCACCAACCTTAAAGACGCTTAAAACTGAAATTAAACTTGCGCTTAAACGTCGACGTATAGTACGTGCAAGGTATGATCAGACTTAGGATACTAAATAATTTTTCTTCACCCTTCATAAATGGAATTATAATCATATACTTGAGTTATCTTCTTTTAAAATCATCAAATACTAAACCCTACCCTTTAGTCACACAGTTTAATTTCTGAGAATCATTTAGCTCTTTAAAAATCCTAATAATATAGTTCATAACCTTTCCCGCTTCTTTCATAATATTTAGAAATCAATTTTACTTTTGACACTAGGCACACCTGGGGTTCTCCTCCTATCCCCCTCCACACCTGTTTCTTATCTATTTTCCCTTGTTTGATTACCTTGTCCAAGTTTGATCCTTGTTCATCGAAATAGGGACTGATTTTGTTCTGTCCAACTTATTTTTTTCTTTTTTGTTGACAGACACCATTTGTCTCAAAATCATAAGCAAATATTTAAGCAGTGAATGAGTTCCATTTTTTTTAAATATAATTATTCTTTTCATGTATCTAACTGGGTAAATATATGCAATTTCAACGAAAGGTTGAACTTTTTTTTTTCCTTATTTGAACTTTTATTCATTAACTTTTTAAAATTCTTTAAATTTGAGAATGAGTGTTATGATTACAAAACAAGCTTATTTTTTGACACTTTGACGAAGATTTTGTATAAATTTAGCGATGTTTTCAACGAAAAGCTAAGATCTGTGTGTACATTTATTACTTTTATCATGTTTTAAGTAAAAAGGTTTACATTTTTTTAAAAGTATCGTTGAACAATATATTTAGTTTTATTTTATCGTATATTTTAAATATTTTAAGGATTTTAGCACAAAAAACAGGTGACTATAATATTGATGGAGAAAAAAAAATTCTTTTTTGATATTTGTTCATGATATTTATGAATTAAAATATTTCGAAAAGTTACTAGTGTGTCACGAAATATTTGTAGTTTCTGTGCTCAAATTCACCCTTATTTTAGTTGGGACACTTTCTTACCAAAATTACAATTTAAATTTTAATTATAGCTGTTTCTGAAAAAAGTGTCGAATTCAGTCATATATCTTAAATAATCTTTATTTTATATTCGTTTACTTGAGTAAATAGATAACATCAACGGCCATGCTAGTGAGTAAATTTCAATACTTACCAAAGACAATGACCAAAGTCATTTTCACAGTTTTTATTTTAGCTCTAGGTATGATTCCTCTGGAACTAGCACGTTTTCTGTCAGCTTCACTTTCCATGCTATTAGATTTGTTCTTGTTAACGCAACCTGTGAAAACAAAAATATAAAGTAACAAAAAAAAAAGAGCTAAGGGCACTAAAACAGCTATTCTTAGCTGGCTTTAATAAAAATTAGCAATTAAAACAAATTTAGTTAAAACTACCCCATGCGTAATTTTGACACTAGTTGATCCCATAAGTCTCACATATTTTTAACTATCAACCGAATCATGATAGATTTACTGAATAATTTGAAAATTAACAATTCAGTTCTAAAGAATACCTAAAGAGAATAAAATAAAAAATAATCATGTGTGAAAACAAGTTTTCAGCTAGTTTTTAACCATGTTCCAGTTTTGGAACATAGGCATTAGACAGAGGCAGTTTTCACTCACTGTAGTTAAGATCCATTTAACTGTGTACTGGTACTTATCTTTGGTCGAAACAAGATGGTATCCACTTAGAAGTCCTAGAAAATGAATGTAATTTTGGGAAATATACTAATCATTTAAATTTTTCTAAAGCCTAAATGATTATATATTGACGAGATACCTTACATTTTCGCCAGAAATAGTTTTCAAAATGCGTAAAGAAGTGTAAAGTTCATGCTTTCGTGATTATCATTCACGATTAAGTTCGTGATTTCGTGACACGGTAGACTTGGCCCTCAATGGGCTGACAGGCCATTGAGTTTCACTAACATAAAACATAAGAATTAAAAGGAAAAAAACTATCAATAGCCAGCCATAGTTGGGAACATATTAAAAAAAACCTTTAAAGTAAGATTTCAACTCTACCATTGTCAAATAGCACGAAATGTAACAACCACCCCTGAAGGGTATCACCATATCAGAAAAGATTTCTTTTCAATAGTTATATTTTCAATAATATAGAAAAACACTGGGTATGAGTGAGTGTATACCTTGCATTACTTTCCAAGTATTACAACAAGATCCATCATTCTGTTGTAAGAATAAGTATCGTATGTTTCTGACCTTCATGTTCGAAAGACGTTAAAAGTAGACACCTCCATCTCTCTTTTTTCGATTTGAACACCATTGCTTACCTTGGAATAAGTGTCATAATGCCAATCAAATGAAATGCAATGCAACATATTTCGATTAATCACTTGAAATCTAAAAATAGATCCTTTGAAACGTCAATGTTTAAAAAATTAAATTTTTATATTAAACCAGAATTCTGACAATAAAATTTTTAAAAAAAAATTATTTCAAAATAAAATTTTAAATTCGTTGCCCAACAGTAATATTTTCTCCATAAAAACTTGAAAGTATTGTAAATTTATTATAAAAATTTGATGTTCGGTAAATTATATTACAAGTGGGAGTAAAATTTACAAATAATATAAAATCCCTAGAATTCATAAGAAATCAAAAAAAAAAAATTGTAGGAACGGATCCGAGCTAAATACAAAAAGTACTCTAAAACGTACATTTAAAATACTAGTAAAATAGTATTATTCGTACTATAATTGCTCTTTAAATTGAATATTAGTGATACCTAATGCAAAAGTTTGGATGGAAATACTTATATGCTGATTTTTCTTTGCATGATCTGTAAATAAAATTTGAGTACTAAATCTTCTTTAAATTGTGTAACCGTTGTGCATGTAGTTATAAAAGTGATAACTTCATCCTATCAGTAAATGAAATTAAATTTCAATTTTTCGCAAAATTATCAAAAGCTTTAACTATCACTAAAATTAACTGTTACCCTACTCCTGTTGTTGAATATTCTTTACCTTTTTTTTTATCTAGCATGCGTGAAACCCCCTCGATTTTCCGAATTTATTGCTTGGGCCATCCAGTAAAATAGGTGGAAGGCCTCTTATTTAAACATATTATTGTATTTTTATTTTTAATTGTAATTTTATTTTTAATTGTATTTTTATTTTTAATTTAAACAATTTTGGAACTAATGTACAATTTTTCGCAGCAATTCTAGGCCATAAAATTTCTTAGTTTTAAAAAAAAAAAATAAATAAAACGTCTTAGTTCGTTTCTTAGTTTTTCTTTATTTCTCACTTAATATATAAATAAAAGCTTATTAGTAAGCTGAATAATAGTAAGTAGTATGTCTCTGTGATATCTAAAGAAAAATACTTCAAAAAATTGATTATCAATAATATCACTGTTTCGATTCGCTGTCGCAACCTATTAAAAAAAAAATACGGGTCCAATGATCTTAAAGCGCACTTAGGTTCTTTGCTTGTTTTATTTAGTTTTTTTTCATATCCAATTTCCGTTTTGTTTTTGTGCCAAATATACTTCACATCAAATGTTCTTTTAATTGCTTTAGAACGTGATGTGTTTTAAATTTGGCACAGATCAGGTTAGGTGTAGATCAAATGCTTCTGTCTGTAACATAATGCGATTAACAATGTTGTATTACTTGTTGTTTCATTGTTTTTATCGCTCTTACTTTGTTTCATATTATGTGCTTTTGCTAATAAAGCTTCTAATAAAACTGAACATCATCAGTGATATTGAGGATCAGAATTTTCCTCTTTTTTTGAAATTTATGCACCATAACTTTCAAGAAAAAAATATTTTGGATTTTACATAATCTTACTAACCACAATTATGTAGGGTTGGGAGATTTTCATGGGAGATCAATGGATTTTTTTAAAATTCTTTTTATTTAATTTTTTTAGTCTATCTTTTTCAGAACTTAAAAATTTAAATAAAATAAAAAACGTAAAAAAAAATAGTTGGCGGAAGTCTACATCTTTTGGTGACTTTTCGCTTGCACCCGGATGACCCA